TCACTGTCTCACAGTTGCCAGTCTAGCTCACCAGAGCTCTCCCATCACTGTCCCCAAACCATATCTTCCCCAAGCTCAGTGGCATGGAAAAAAAATATCATCTCGTCATCTAACTCGAGCTTCACCATGGCCACCAATGGCATCGAACTCCCAAGAAACTCGCGCTGGTAGTCTAGAACAAAGCAGTAGAAGCAATGGGCAGCGGGAAGGGGAGTAGGAGGGGCGACTGCCGATGATTTGGGGTTGTAGGGTAGTGTCAAGGTGACATCAAAGGGAGCCTATAACGGTGATGCTTTGAGCGCAACATTGAAGGAAATAGAGAGAGGGGGGATGAAACAAAATTATTCCAGGGAGATGACCTTAATGGGACTACGAGACATGTGGTTGGATGACGAGGCGATCGATGTTGGCTTCGTATCGCTGGTCAGAGGGGAATCATTTCCCTTTCCATAAATCCCGATCATTAAAGCAAATAAGGCTAAGTAAAATTTGCGATTGTATGAAACAAAATGCGGTTTTGGTATTGAGTTTATATATGGAAACTGAGATTGGGAAGAAGATGATTGGGTATTGACACAATAATTCTTAAGTAGAAATTCAATATCTCAAGATTTACTTAGTTTCATTTCCGGCAGGAACAATTTTGTGCCACTTAGTGATGTTGCCTTATTTTAGGACCATCAGCCATATAGGCCTACCATGGTAGTGATGTCACTGCGGACATGCATCACTTTGGCCTCAACAATGGTTGGTTTGTGGATGAAACTAAATTTGATGTTGAAGAGACCACTGAAGGATACCCGACTACTCATCAATGGTGAGTGGTACTACTAACGGGTTTTTCCAGCTCGTTAGTGACCAATCAGTGGGTCGTGTTTTTATTCCTAGCTGTGGGTTACACCTTTAACTTGCACCAACTATTCGAGAATTGTTCACAGGGAGACAGAGTGGAATTGTATCTACATGATACTTGGTTTGCTCACGAGGCAAACATGCGTTTTTTCGTGTCCCCCTGTAGAGGGGAATCATTTCCTTTTTCGAAAAATCTCGATCATTAAAGCGGGTAGTGTTTTTTACACTAGATTTTACATACCAAGTGTAAGATTGCGAAAAGGGTGATTGAGTATTGATAGAAAGATTCTTAACTAAAGATTTGATACTCCTATCTCAAGATTTATTTTGTATCATTTCCGCCAGGAATAGTTTTGGGCCTGTCATTGGTGTTGCCTCATTTTAGGACCGTCAGTCGTATAGGTTCGTCATGGTAGCGATGTTGCCAATGAATAGCCTTGTTTGTGGTAGCTTTATTCATGAAATTAAACCTCATGTGAAGGAGTGTTAAAAACCTCATGTTGACGAGACCAAAGCCGGGTACCCTGTGGCCCGCCAACCGTGAGTAGTACTACTAATGGTTTTCTCCTGCTCGTTAGTAGTGAACCATCTAGAAAGTGTGTCGTTTTATAATGGTGTTTTTTATCTTTAACTCTTAACACAAAATGTTGCATTTTAGCACTAACTAACCATCCATCCATTCTAGGTAATTTGTATGTAGCTCTGTTTTATTTTGTGCGGGAATAATAGGTGGTGATGTTGATGCTCTCGGAGGAGTGTGGACCCTGCTTCAAACAATCCATTTAATTGATAGTGAATAATATCCATGCGTGCATGCCTTGCCATGGAGCTAGGTGTCAAGGAGTAATCAAATTGCCAAGAATGTCAAACTCCAAATGCAAGACGCCAGTGCATATGTGTAGCAGTTTTGGGTTGGATTCGGTGGGAGATTGGATTCACATGAACGCTACCCAATTTGATAATCCAGCTTGCATGCATGTCCATACTATATCACAGAAATGAAAATTTAAGGTAAGACATATGGATCACCCAGATATGCCACCTTCCCCCATTCTTAGCGCCAGACCCATAATCCTTGTGTTGTCTGTGAGAGATCACCAAGCCACATGCATGCCCATCTATAGACAGGGTTGAGCATTCTAAGGATAAAAAAAACACTAGGATTACTAAAACTGTCACATTGCTACTTAATTGGCACACAAGCAAATTAAGGAGGTGTGCAATGTGTTTGGCCAGGGTGATTAAGAGAGGCTTGTCCTCATGCCTGCATCTATACATGCTGCCTAGGCGGCTTGTAGGCCTCTCTTTAGGGCAGGAAAGGGTATGATTAGGTGCAAGAGCGGCTTTGCATTTGCTGCTCACTTGAGTGTGGTGGTTGCTGTGTGGATAGAGACCCTTATCCAGGCCCCCTAATCTCTCAAGTTTAGGACCTTGTTTTATGGGCACTGCCCTTGTTAGGCAGGGCAGTTCAAATAGAACCCTCCCTGCACCACAACCTTTTATAGTTATAGTACACAATCTAAAATTTAATGGATTTTTGTTAAAGCTAGGTAGCCTCACTTTTGTGCTTTGCTTCTACAATGTTCCAAATAAAATAATCAGTAGTAGCATTACATAAATTTGCCACTGAAACATAATTAAGTCACTACACATGATTTTAATCTTTCAAGTATTCACCTAAATATCGAGTGCTTTAAAAAATGGGTTAATTGAATAAATGCCACTCGAATTCTGGTTATTCCGAGAAATGCCACTGCAATTTCCGAAAAACGACACGATGGGGCAGTTTTCAGTTGAAACGAACTATAGATGGGCAGTACATTAAACATACTGTAGTCCCCTTAGTTCTCTGATGATTTGGTAGGATATGTAGAATAACTAACTAATGTTGACTCGACTTGGGGGAAAGTTGTGCATACATATATGCACCGGTCCAATCATATGTACAAAAAGCGCGCTTTAGTGGTTGACAATTGCATTTGTTACATACTTTGGGTCAGTTGGTTCGATCCTCGATTGTTCTTTGTCAATAATATATGTACTTAGTGTCAGTGTGTGCCTTAATATAAACATTCATGGTGGACATATCTCTTGCACCGTCCAATTACAAGTTAAACCAACCCCCTCATTAGGTTGATTGGTAAAGGGGCTACCAAATCAAAGGGTGTACCTGCTACTACTACTATTTGATCCTTCAGCTAGCTTGCAGAAGTAAGTAGTACCACTGTAGTAACTATAGCTAGGGTGAATATATAATCTATGGTGTAGTAAGTAGTCAACACCCGAGGGCATACTTGTCATTTCTCCATGGGGTGGAAAGTCCCCTTATATATACCCTGCAATGGCAGGGACTGAGTTGGTGCAATCAAAAGTCGCCAGCAACCATCTCTTCTTGCTTCATTCGGTCTCTAGGCGGCTAGCCATTACGACAACACATCCCAGATATAGTCAGTAGTACTAGCTAGCAAGCAAGATACTAGCCAGGTGTTGTCCATGGAGGAGATGGGGGAGGAGAGCAGCAGGTATCCATGGCAGGACTACGACATCGGCTTCGGGGAGGAGCTCATGAGGGAGCTCCTTGACGAGACGACGACGGCGCCATCTCTAGCAGCAACACCAACGGCGCCCGGCGCCGTGAGCGCTGACAATTCTTCTTCTTCCGATAAGGGAATTGGTGACGAGGAGGAAGGGGCGGCGGGGCGCCGGGAGTCCATGGTGAACAGGCTCATGTCGACGGTCTACTCCGGGCCCACCCTCAGCGACATAGAGAGCGCCCTCTCCTTCACCGGCGCTGGCGCCGGCGACCCGCTGGACGGCCGCAGCAAGTACCACTACAGCCCCTCCAGCCCAGTGTACGTCCCTCATATCTATGCCAAGAACAACCATCTATGTACAATTCTCCGTAGATTCAAGCTCAGTTTGGACATCTGTATGGAAACTCAGGGTTTTCTCGCCGGAGAAGGTGCTGGGCAAGATGGAGAACAAATACACGATGAAGATCAAGAGCTGCGGCAACGGGCTCGCCGACGATGGATACAAGTGGAGGAAATACGGCCAGAAAGCCATCAAGAACAGCCCCAACCCAAGGTACTATTTACAGTTTCACTTTCACCCTATATCAACCTATCTCTCATGGCCGACATGACTTTTAATTACTTGTAGTTCTTAGCCATGGTAGCTAGCAGGCAATTTTGCAAGCAATTTTACTTACAGTGGCATAATCACCATGGTGCAACATCCAGTTGACATATGAGAGACAGCGTGTATATATTTATCTGTTCACTCTTCAAACATGGGTGTGTGAAAGGCACATGACATCGCAGCTAGCTAGTAGCCCAAATGAGACAAACTCCAAGCTTTGGAGCAATTACTTTTGTGAACCAAATGGAGGAAGAGCAAGCTAGCTATGCACTGTCCATACTTAATTCCACAACAAAAAATTCCCATGACAGAGCAATAATCCTCCACAGCTTGCATGCCACAATCCGTATATAGCTAGTCATGGGCAAAGTTAATCGCTGCATGCAAGTAAGGGGTTTGCAGAGGTGGAGTAGCTGAGTTGGTAGGTGTGTGTGCTTGCAGATGGAATATTTATTAATTGCAACCTTAAATACTTAGACCCCACAATTTGCCATGGCACGGTTGAGCTAGCTACCTAGAGCTGTCTCCATGAAAACAACCGGCTAATTTGGCAAGAAAACGACAGTGGAATGTGTAGTTTTTGTAAATTCTTTTTTTAATAGTTTTTGAAAATTTCAGTCACCTAAATTGCACGCTACTATTGATTATTATAGTGAATTAGTGTATAGCAATATGTAACTTTTCATTTGGTTAATTTTGGCGGTGGTAATAACTAAATTGACGTGGACGTGGCAGGAGTTACTACCGGTGCACGAACCCGCGGTGCAACGCGAAGAAGCAGGTGGAGCGCGCCGTCGACGAGCCGGACACGCTCGTCGTCACCTACGAAGGCCTCCACCTCCACTACACCTACTCCCACTTCCTCCAGCAGCAGACCAGCCCTCCACCCGCTGCCGCCACCATTGCCTCAAGCTCCAAGAAGCCCAAGCTGCACCCCGCCGCCGGCGCCATTACAGTCACAGACTCCCACCACGAGAGCACCCCTGTGACAACAACCTCGCCGCTCTCTGCCGCCGTCGTCCCTGCCGGCGCCGGAGACAGCAGCGGCGACAGCGGCGGTAACGTGACAGCCGACGCGGGCTTCCTGCTGGAGCACGCGGTGCCCAACTGCTCGGCGTATCTGTTCGACGGCGGCTTGTTCAGTGATGCAGGCGTGGAGCGGCGGATGCCCAGCGACGCCGGAGGGCTCCTGGAGGACATGGTGCCGCTGATGGTCCGTAGGCCGTCTTGCAACTCGGCGGCCACCACCGCCAGCTCGTCGACAACGGTCGGCTCGCCCGCCGCGATTGTGTCGTCGCCGTCGCCCTCCACATCGTCCGTGTCCTGGACCCCCGCGTCGCCGTACATCGACATGGCCATCCTCTCCAACATCTTCTAGCTAGTAGCGTAGTGTCAATTTGTCCATCACGATGATCGAATTGTTTGTGCTTGTGCATCCAAGCGTGCAAGATGCACGTACGCACGAAGGGTGCGTGATTATTAGTAGTACTATTATTATACCAGCTACTACTAGTAGCATCTAGCTAAGATAGCTGTGGCTTACTCCCAAAATAAGGAGGATGTGTATGTGTTGTGTGAGTATAGTATGATTGTTATTAGTATAGGTACCGGTGGATGTTGAATGAATAATTGTGTGCAAGATGTGAGTAATACTCATACTTATGGTGTGCAAGGATGGCAGATGTAGTATATGTGTGTAGCAAATATAATTGTGAGAGAAGCTTGTGGGATATGTAGTCTGTTAACTTTTCTCTGGGCATGAGTTTCTCCTCTTCAGGGGCACAATTGACCATGTTATTCGGTTATTTTTTGTACAGCTATTTTTGGATGAAATTACTATCAATACTTTTTTTTTGCAGCGGTGAATTTGGCCCATGGTACCATTTTGTAGGGGATAGCCCAAGATAACTTGTTTGGGCATTAAGTTAGCGCCCATAGCAACTATATAGTGCAAATGCTCGATCTCGCTTACTGCAAGACCGTAGCTTATTCTTTTTTTAAGCAAGACTATAGCTAGTGTCACCTCAAGCGACCGACAAAATGGCCCGACCCAATAGGTGTGATACGAGCGGTTTTGCGAAGCTTCTGAGGACCAGTTCGTGAAACCTTCCATCATGTCACTTAAAAAGCACCTTATTAAATGGGGAAGGAATTGAGAAATGTGAAGGCTCTGATGACCCATTCATTTCGATTTAGGTATTTCTGTACCATACATATTTGGATCTTTCCTCCATATCTGTTGAGTGTGAGCCTAGGTTGATATCGTTGAGTTGGATTAGTCCTACCTGGATTAGTCCTACCTTAATCTATCATGTCCTGCAACCACTCCAATCTCAATCTTCTGATCGGTTTTGGGAAGGTTCCACGCTGGTTTCTTCTTCTTTCTTTTATGTGTTTTTCTTTATGTTTTTTTTCATGTTTGCCTTTTCTTTTCTTTTTCATCTTTTAAAATACATGTTGACCTTTCTAATACACATTGGACATTTTTCGTCTATAGATCGAAGATTTTTTAAATACAAGTTCAATATTTATCTGAATACATGTTAAAAATTTAAAAATGTACATGAAGTATTTTCAATACATAGTAAACATTTTCTAAACACAAGTTGAACATTTCTTTAAATTGCATGAACACATTTTTACACTGTCATGAAGTTTTTACAAAAGAAAAATCAAGAAACATATTTTTAAACGAGTGAACAATTTTTAAAGGGTACAAACATATGTACAGACTACATGACAGATTTTTACATTTTCTTGACTATGTTTTAAAGTACCATCAACAAATCTTTAAACTTGTGAACATTTTATAAATGTCACGAACAACTTTTGATTGGTACAAACTGTTTACAAAGAGATCAAAAGTTTTACACTCCCTGGACATTTTTTGAATGCTTGATGAACTGTTTTGAAACTTAAGTTAATGTGTTCAATTTCATAAATATAAAGAAAAGTAACAAAAAACAAATAATAAAGGAACTAAAGGGCTGTTTGGATTGTGATTATCTTTGTCATATTTTGCCACACCTAAGTTGGTCAAACTTGCCTAAGGTGAGGTGTGGTAAAGTGTGGCTAAGTTGGTCAAACACTATTATTGGCGAGGCAGACGTCCTTCTCTCTATGAGGAAGATCCAGAAGCTCACGCTATCACTGGTAGAAAAAGGGCCTGTTGTCCCGGTTCGTAAGGGCCTTTAGTCCCGGTTCCTGAACCGGGACTAAAGTGTCGGTACTAATGCCCTGTCCCTTTAGTCCCGGTTCAATCCAGAACCGGGACTGATGGGCCTCCACGTGGCCTGTGCGCGGAGCCCAGGCAGGAGACCCTTTGGTCCCGGTTGGTGGCACCAACCGGGACCAATAGGCACCCACGCGTCAACATTTCT